ATATCATACAAAGAGATTGTCAAATACCTGTTAGTGACACAAGTGTTCAAAATGATAATTTCCTCCGGTTAGGGAAGGCCTCCGGTTAAGATGGGCCTTCACTTGGTATAAATTGAGACAGGAATAGAAGTGAAAAAAGCACAATGCTACCTAAAAATTTACAGGTAGAGGGAGAACGAGATAGAGGGAGAGCAGGAGAGCGATAGATGGGGAGGGAGACTGGGAGAGAGAGAGAGAATGGGGGCAAGATAGAGGGAGAATGGGAGAGAGTTATGGAGTGAGAGTGAGGAGGGAGAACAGAGGGAGAGGGAGAACGAGACAGAGGGAGAGCAGGAGAGCGATAGAGGGGGAGGGAGACCAAGAGAGAGAGAGAGAGAGAAAGGCGGTGAGACAGAGGGAGAATGGGAGAGACTGATAAAGGGAGAGGGTGAGGGTGCCACAAAGGGGGAGTAAGACTGAGGGGGGCGAGAACGGGAGAAAGTGGGGGCGACAGATGGAGAGGGAGAATGAGACAGAGGGAGAGCAGGAGAGCAATAGAGGGGGAGGGAGACCAGGAGAGAGAGAGAGAGAGAATGGGGGCGAGACAGAGGGAGAATGGGAGAGAGTTATAGAGTGAGAGTGAGGAGGGAGAACAGGAGAGAGGGAGAGCAACCGAAGTTCAGTCGTCTGCAGTCGAAGAGAAGAGAGTTGCGAGTGTGAGAGAACGAAAGAGAGAGAATAGGGAGGGCGGGAGAGAACAATGGTCGTGGGCCCTAAGAGGGTCATTTTAGTCTTTGCAATTTAAGGATAAATTTCAAAATAAAATTTTAAATAAATGTTATTGTGACATATAATCCGAGTTGGATTGCTACGTCACATGAAAAGCTTAGGTAGAAGTGTGATGCTTACATGGCGTGGGAGTCGGTCTTATAATTTCAAAAGTTGAATTATAGAGTAATTGTAAATTTTGTATGGGTCGGCCTGGTGTTCAGATTTCTGCAATGGGCCTGCTCGTACTTTTCCCTAAAAAACAACCCTAAACCTATTTCACATTGGTAATCTAAACCATATGCATCTGTCAATATACGCCATCAGATAAGAATGTTGTGTATTTTATATAAATTTATGCATGCTTGCATGTATTATTGTGCGAATGTATTAAATAAGTATACCTATGGTATATGTATAGTATGGTTAATTTGAATGGGATAATAAGGGTTGATCCAGGCTCAAGGTACCAATGGGCTAGGTAGTGTGTAAAGAAGCTTGTATAATGTGAGGATGGTTTGGAACCGCTTGGTATGGAGAAGTGGTGATTGGCCATTGGTGGTACATCTACAATGTGATTGGCTAAAAGGTTTTAGGTGATTTTGACATTAGAGGGAGTAATAAAGACTGTGTGGAATTGTTGGGATGCAAGGAATGTCTTACTAAGGTGAGTCTGGATTTGATAGCCACATTTACTTGGGTGGGATTGATAAATCTGAAATCTGAAGTTTGCAAAGCCAGAAAGCTATTATGTAGGTCTGAAGTCTGAAAACCAGCATAAATGCTTTTCTACTTTTTAGAGACTCTA